AATCTTTGTTTTACTATGGTTGCAAATATCAAAAAATGTCTATATGTGACACGGCACCAGAGTTAAGTTAGGGTTTTTCAAAATGCTGACACCCTGAGCTCAAAAGGTTCGCCATCACTGGTCTAGTGGTTGCCAGCAATCATTGGCATTCCTTGGCTTGTAGATGCATCATTAACCCCTGCCTCCATCATCACCTGGCATTCTCCCTGTGTGTCCAAGTCCAAATTTCCCTCTTCTTGTAAGGATGCCAGCCATTGGAATAGGGTCCACCCTAATCCAGTATGACCTGTGACCTCATCCTACCATAATAACATCTGCAAAGACCCTTATTCCATAGATACCTGGGTTAGGACTTGAACACAACTTTCGGGGAGGACACAATTCAACCCACCACACCCACCTAGGCTCATTGGTACCTCAAGCATAATGCTCTGGCTATACTGATCTTCTCTGAGTTCCTCAAATGCCAAGTATGTTTCCACCTCAAGACCTTTGCATTTGCTGTCCTCTCTGCCACAAATATTCAAGCCACAGTCAACTTCACCCAGTCAACTCCTTCTCGTCCTTGAAGTCTCAGCTCAAAAACTGTACAGGGTGGGGTAAAAGTAGGTCTAAAGTTATTCTAGTGGAAAATAATACAATCTATATATATAAAAGCCCAAGCGACTTTATGACCAGTTGACTGAACACTCAATGCAGGAGCTGCCCCCTGGTGGTCAGTGTACTCCACAGCCAGCCTCCCATGGTCCCTCCCCCACCTACCTCCCCGGCCAGCCCTATAGGCTCTGATCACCAGCCAGGCCGAGGGAACCCACCTGTGCATGAATTCATGCACCGGGTCTCTAGTAATTAATAAACAATAATACAAGAATAAACTCCGTGTTTCCATATTCACAACTGTAAACCTACTTTTGCTCAACCCTGTATTACTGCCCCAAGGAGACCCTGCCACCTTCTCTAAAAGAGACTCTCTTGCCCTAACCGGTTTGGCTCAGTGGATAGAGCTTCGGCCTGCAGACACAAGGGTCCCAGGTTCGATTCCAGTCAAGGGCATATACCTTGGTTGCAGGCACATACCCAGTAGGGAGTGTGCAGGAGGCAGCTGATTGATGTTTCTCTCTCATCGATGTTTCTAACTCTCTATCCCTCTCCCTTCCTCTCTGTAAAAAAAAAATCAATAAAATATATTAAAAAAAAAAAAAGAGAGAGAGACTCTCTTACAAACACCATTTTATTCTCATAATTATTCTCACCAGCTGAACCTATCTTACTTATTGTATTTTCTGTCTTCTTCCCACCTTCACTCCACCCAGAATTTAAGCTCTGTAAAAGAGGAATAGTAATGTGTCCAGAAATTCTTTGACACTCCTCCCTTCAAAAAGTGTTGCCTAAAAAAAAAAAAAAAAAAAAAAAAAAAAGACTAAAT